TCCATTGTTAAAAATATCTATCATTTCACTAACAAAATCTTGAAAAAAAATATTTGAATCATTTGGTTTAGTAAGACCATGATAAACACCTATCACAAATATGTATGAGCTCCCAGCTAAACAGCCCAAAATTGGCCATAACTGACTGTTGCTGCTGTCAGATAATGGCAAGCCATCAGTTGATATTTTGAGCCCGATATTTGAATTATGGTAAGAAGAAAATTTTATAATTTCTTTTTGCATTGCTTCTCTTAAGCCAGCTTTTAAACCAAAATGACAATAATGCCCGGGTTCTACACTTTTAATTACAGAAGTTCTGGGAGTTTTTAATAATGTTCTGGAGTCTTTAGGAAGAAATTTACCACATACTTCATCCCTAAGTATCACTAGTAATCCATCTAAAGCATTTAATTTAATTTTATATTTTAGTGCCCATATTTTCAGTTTCTCCTCAAAAGATTCAGATTCACAGTTGGAGTAATCTATATATTGTATGCAATTGTTATCATATTCTGAGAAAGATGAATCTGTAGATGTGAAATTTTGCAAATTATCAGATATTAAATTATGAATATCATTTGAAGTACTATTATAGTCGGCATTTTCAGTAAAGCTGGTACTGATAGTGGTATTATCATTAATCATAATATTATTACTGCCTTTGGTGACGGATCCATTGAGAAAAAAGTTTTGATCACTATCAGGAACAACTGCAGATTCATGATGACTGGTAATTTGCAAATGTGTAGCCCGATCTTCATCTAAACTATTATCACTATCTTGCACAGCTGCATTAAAGTCAGTAGCTACCCTACGCCTAAATGTCCTTTGACTTATACAACTAATATCTTTTGTTTTTCGTTTTGACATTATGTGCACTTATCTATAAGGACAAAAATCTGTGACTGAATTTAATTAGGTATGATAATTATCATACATTAATGTTATTTGTATATTACAGTGTTCTATCACTTTGTAGTGAAAAAAGTTTATGGTTCTGATGGTGTAGTTTAATTAATCATATCTAATATCGTACCAAATTTTGAGTTATGCCAGTCTTATTACCCAAGGGGATAAATTCAGATATATTTCTTATATTGGTAGTAGAACTTATTAATAATATTAAATTTATATATACCTTATATATTTTTAATGTAGGTAATTTATAAAAATTCAATAGGTACGCATATGCTCAAAATAATATTCATATTAATTTATATTAGGTATCTGAATGTATAGGTAGGTAAATAAATAGGAATTAAAAAATAGGTAGGTATACCTATTTTTAAATAAAAATATGTGATGAACAATAATAAGGCAGTGCCGAGTTGTTTTTCTAAAATAATAATATGAAGTATATAATATATAAGTACTATCTATACGATCTGCTCAGATCATCGGCGTCGAGCTGACGATGAGCCTTCTATATAATAGGTATTAATAATATTATTATACTAGCAACTAGCAACCCGGGCCGTGATCGGTAGTGGAGGTGAACGCCGCGCGCCGTTATTATATATATTTATACCTTATTTATATTAAGCTCTAAATAATATTATAGTTATTATATTAAGTTAAATAACATACCTATTTAGTGAATACACCTATTATTGACACCTATTATATACGGATCACACTGTCGACCGCGGGTCCAATAATGCGTAGATTGATCTGAAATTTTGAACGCTGTGACGGTCACGTGATGGTGGCTCGGACAGAACGGTACACAACTATATACGGAGTAGCAGACTTTACGGACTTACGGTCACGTGGTGGCTCGGACAGAACGGAATAACGGTTACGCGGTGTGGCTCGGATAGAACAGCACACGAAAATAAGTACGGGCTCGCGCAAAGGTTATGCGTTAAGGCGGAAACGTACTGTCACTACTGTTTGTGCTATTATAAGCATTTATAATATAATATTAATATACATAGAAAGCTCAAACTAGCACATCACGTGGTTTCGGGTGGCAAACAGGAATAATAACGTGGATGAAGACGCACAACAAATAAGACACTTGTCCGGATACTGTATAATATAGTATTTAGGACCGTAGCACATTAGCATAGACAAACATATAATACTAATTACTATGCGCTATATATGAACTTCAGGATTAAAGCGGATAAAAGCTAGAGCCTAGAACGGCTAGAACGACGAAAACGACACTATTATGGCAAGAGACAATAATGAGTATTGACTATTGAGTAATAAGTAATAACAAATTGTATAATTATACTAATATAATGACGGCGCGTCAAACTGTCAAAGTCGAAGTCGAACCGGGAACAAGAAACCGGCGGGGATAAATCGCAGGCTGACGAGTGACGACCGGCGCGCTAGAGCGGATCAGCGGAAGTTGCGTCTAGTTTCTATAGACGATTCTACTCGGACTTCAGACTGCGCGGCGCGCGCTAAGCGGCCGTGATGCCAAACTCAAGAAATGGCGGTCCGCGTTCAAACAATACAACTTATATAAGTTTAGTATTAATTATTAATTATGATTACGAAGTATACTAGCTAGTATACACCAGCTATGACTAAAGTGATATACAGTAATATTATACACTGCAATACACAAGTACAGAACACACTGCAGTGCCCATGTATCAATAATAAGTTGTATGCTGTGCTCATGCAGTGTGTATGCTTGTGTAAACGATTATAGCCACATCGCAATATTAATGATAAATTGATAAATATTAAATATAACTGAAAACCCAAAAACATTATTGTCTGATTGTCATTCCATAAGCGATATTGCGATAAGGAAGACTTTCCATTACCTATGCGTAAATAATTATGATATTGTGGATATTTAATAGATGACCAACATATCCATATTAAATTTAGTCCAGAAGTAATTTTGTATGGATATCTATATGATATCTATCCGAAGTAACTTGTGGACTAGACGTGATATGGATATGTCAGTCATCCATTAAATAACCATTGGACTACATGTGCTGTGTGGGTGATAACCAATTTTTTTTCAAGTACGATTTTTATCAAAATGAATTTTTTTTTAATTTTTCTAATAAACATATTTTTGTAGGTTTTTTATCAAACAGAATTCTTTTAATAGTTAAATCTTAAAAAAATCTGTTAAAAATCGATAAAAAACTATTTTTTTTAAAGTACGATTTTTTTTTATCAAAATAGATTTATTTAACATTTCAATTCAATAAAGATTTTTTATAGAATATATGTTTTTTAAAATTATGTTAATTATTTAATAAGTTTTAACTAATTTTTATGTTTTTTATTAGTTTCATATATACCTGGCAATCAGGCACGTAGCCAGGATTTTATGTTTGGGGGGGGGGGGGGTCGAAATAAATGTAGTAATCGTCGAAATAAATAGTTCACACTTTTCCAAAATTAAATTAGCCAAATTTTCTCCAGTAAGATCATAGGCTGGAATAAAACGTAAGAAATCTTCATGTAGTTGGTTTTTAAAATTTATATACCTAGCGCACAGAGAAAGTTGTTCTATTCCAGAAACGTCTAAAGTTTCATCACATAAAATTGTAAAACAACCAGATTTGTTTATGTCAGTGACTAATTTTTTTGTTATTAAGTTTCCACATATTTCAATTATTTCATTTTGTATAGTCGGACTTAAGTAAGTAGCATTTTGTTGACAACTTAATAAATGTTTTTTCAAATTGTTGTCACCAGAATTAGCCCTAAACCGAAGTAAAGCACGAAATTTACCATCCTTATTTGCTGGTTTTTGAAGTGAGAATGGACCACTGTCGTTATCACCTCTGAGAGGAATTTCTTGCTCGCCACAAAAAATTATAGTTTCTATAATAGGTTTGAGAGCTAATCTGTTTTCATTTCGTTCATTTCATTTCATTTCGGGGGGGGGGGGGGTCCAGACCCCATGGACCCCCCCCCCTGGATACGTGCCTGCTGGCAATGTTATAACAGTAGTAGTAGTATATATGTACCATTCCAGGACCACCTCATTTTATATCAATAAAAGTTCAGAAAGAAAACAATGTATAAAAAGATCAGAAATTTGAAACGCAATAATAATTAAAATATTTTTCGCAAAACTTATATGTTGACGTCGCGAGGTTCTGTGTTGGTGTCTTCCCGGTGGGCATCGGCGGCCGTAAGCAACGACGTGCAGGCACCGATCACTGCGGGTTGTGGGGGTCGGGGGACGGTTATTACATAATACTGCGGTTATTTCTGCATTAGCACGCGATAATCATAAAAATATAATAATAAGGTATGCTCGTGAATGATAATATGGGTACAGGTATGTTCGTTGTCTTTATAATAATAAGGCAAAAAATGCTGTGATGTTACACAAGTTACTCATTTACAATTGAACTTGTAACTTGTAACTAGACACTAGTTCCACATTTTCCTGTAGTTTTATAAAAAAGTTACATTGTACATAATATACATAAATATTAAGTATTATATTTAATATAACTACTGGGAATTTTAATTTTTACCTCCCTAATGAGCCAGCTAGATTCATTTTCCCATCAAACAAGATACTGTTGAAGAAAATCGTAGCAGTTCTACTGCCCCAAATGGCTTTTTTTTTTTTTTAACTTTTTTGCCTTGTGAATAATTGGTATAATAAATCAAAATATAAAAAATATAGTCCAATACGTTAACAGATTCATCCCTACACTTAAACTTTTATAAGAGGTTTTTTGCTCTAAAGCCAGTCAGTCAGCCGTGTTTTTGGAACAAAAAAAATAAGTTTTCACTCACAGCCGAGGCTGGTACGTCAATACGGTAATGCATGGACGGTCGAGGGCAGCGTTATAAATCTAGCATAATTTTATTTTGTTTTATTTCACGTAAATAATAATATGAACATAATAGGGACCGTTAATATATAAAAATAATACAACGACGTGCAAAGCGCGGACCGCCGATAACAGCCGACCGGTTTGACCTTAGGTCCGGAGGACATTTTTATTATATACTGGTCAAATTGTTTTGAAAGGTAATTTAAAAAAAAAGTTCTACTTTCATTTCTTATTATTAGTCTTTGCAATTAGAATTTTAATTTGTGCTGAAACCTGTTATAAATACAATGAATTAGCATCTCAGTTCCTTAAAAAATTTGTGAATGATTATGCTATCTTATATGGCTTTCATTTAATAACATATAATGTCCATAGCTTAGTTCATTTACCAATGTTTGTACTTAAACATGGTAAACTAGACAATTTTAGCTGCTTCCGGTATGAAAACTATTTACAAGACTTAAAAAAATCAATCAAATCTATTAAATACCCATTGCAAGAAATATTTAATAGAATACTAGAAAGTCAAAAAATAAGTAATGAACTTCCTTCTCAATTATTCTCTCCAATCCCATCCTTATGCAATGAAATTATACATAGAATTCCTTTACCATTTTTTAATACTAATGATGTACTATTTGAAAAAATTATTTTACCATATTCTAATACATCAATAAATATTAAAAAAGAAAAAGATAAATACTTAATGTTAACAAATAGTAAAATTGTCTCTGTTCAACATATTATTGTGTCTCAGAACAAACCAGCGTGTTTAATTGTAAAACAGTTCCTTAGTTTTTCAGAATTTACCACTGTACCATTATCATCTTTTAAAATTGGTGTGTACATCATTGACACTACTAAAATGTCTGAATTGTTTTGTGTAAATTTAACTGAAATTAAATACAAATGTTTTTTTATTAGGCTATCAAACAATTTAGCATTGATTACTTCTTTGAACCATGCAGTATAAACTATGTTTTCTTTATTTTGTTTTAATTTTTTGTAAAATCAAGCTGATTATAACTACATAAAAGAATTTACTTGTATTTTTTTTTTTATAATTTTTATATGTTTAATGTTTTCCATAATAAATTGTTATTCATTTCTAAAAAATTGTTTTTTATTAGTATTTATTATAAAAAGTTCAATGCTCAAAATGAGTTTGTATGCCAATTATATGTTTTTAATAAAACGACAATATTACGGTAATTTGAAACATTACATAGATGTATTGAAGGAAGATTACTTTTAAACATCTTGGCAACCTCAATTAATGTTATGGAGATGTAATTATTTTACGTTTATAAAACATTGATGTGTAACTTTGAAGGGATGTTAAAAAGAAATGTTAATAATACGTATCTTAAAAGACATCATTGCGGAGTAAAGACAGTTTAAGAGATGTTATTCATACGTGTATGAAACGCAATCTATGATGTTCCGTGTTTCAGAAAAACAACCCAGTAACATCGGTGAGACAAATTATTGTTCAGTGGGTAGAGACTTTGATAAGTGAAAATTTAATAAGTTAATTAGTCGGGCGCAATTTACATTATATCTTTTTAACATTGATAACATTTCGGGCGCAGTTTACACTATACCTTTTCAACTAAGATAAAAATTCGGTCGCAGTTTACAAAAAAATAGGTAATTTGGGCGCAGTTTACGTATGAGATTTGGCTATTTGGTCTATTGGTGCTTCCGCTAAAAATTCCGTTATACACCAACCACCAAACCGAACCAACCACCAAACGATCAAATTCCAACATTTTCCTTAAGTTGTCAAACCGTTCGGTATATAATAGTGCACCATTTATCAATCTCCAATAAAAATAGTTCAAATATGCCCCTATTATCTACCGCCCGATTTCTAATCTTATTTCTTTTCTGTTTCTATTCTGAAATTAATTTATTATTTACTTATTTATTTATTAACTTACTACAACCTATTAAAATGTCGATTTTTTGTGGTGTATGGAATAACGGATCTGCTAATTTAATATTGTCGGGAATATTATACATCGCGTTTACTTTTTTATCTGGTAGGTGTCCGGTGATTTTGGGTAATACCAACATTCGTAAATTCCATGTATAGCTATTATTTATACGTGATTTTATTAATCCCCAAACCGCAGATGTCACACGCTGCGACGTTTCACCGATACCGTTAATTGAATGTTCTATTCTTACTTTTTTTAATTTTAACGTTTGTGCTAACTATTCGGTTATGAAATTTGTTTGTGAACCGGAATCTAATAATGCACGACATGGTACGATATTTCCGTTCATATTTGCTGCCGATATTATCGCCGTTGACAATAAAACGTGTTCCGTCGATGTTGATGTGTGTGCGTTAATTGACAACGTTGACGATGCCGATACAGGTATTTCGGTGACCTCAGTATCTTTTTTTGTTTCAGCAGGTGTTGCGATTTTCCGAACCTATGTGTAACATCGTGTTATGAGGCTTAGCGCTTAGGCTTTCCAATATTTGACGTCTTGACTATACTTATCGCGGTTTCAACTGCTTCCACAATATGAAAACGCGATTCCAGAAAATCAATTAGCTCGGCAACTTTAGGTATTTCAAATCGCGGGGTTTTCGTTTCCCACTCACCGATTGTATCGGCGTCCAACTTTGTACTTATAATATGCAGTAATAAAGGGCCCCACTCATCAGGTCGTTGACCTAGTGCTTTCAATGCCGATAAATGATTATGTAACGCGTCCGAAAATTGCCGTAAATTCGTTTGAAGATTTATTCTTTATTGTTGGCAGGTCACATATAGCTTTGACGTGAGTTTGCACCAACAATTTCTTATTATTGTAAAGCGTAATCAAATTAGTCCACGCAATTTCGTAATTATCTGACGTCGTTTCAATATTTTTTATGCAATCGGCCGCACCCTCCACTAACGACGATCGAAAGTGGAAAAATGTTTGTATTACCGGTAGGTTGTCGTTATTGTGTACTAAGGAAGTATATATGTCGTAAAACGATGCCCATTCGGTGTATGAGCCCGAAAATATAGGAATATTTAAAGCGGGTAATTTTATAAACGGGGTGGTTTTATAAGCTTCTTTTTTACTGCTTTCTTCCTTTAGATTATTTACCTGTTGACTGCTAGTCCTAATTCTATTTTGTTCGTATTGAATCTTTTTATTGGCCGTAGCAACCGCTTTGAAATATGATTCTTCGAACTCTGTTCTATAATTACACAGTTCGTCACCGTCATTTTGCTCATCCATTTCTAATTCAGATTGAACCTGATTAAATTCCTGCTAAACCTCTTCAATTTTTTCTTTTCTAACAAGAATTTGTTCTACATCGCTATCACCTGCGGATACGTAGCTCCAGAACCTTGTTAATACGCCTTTGAGCTGTCCGCGTCTCGTTATTAATTTGGCAGCCATAATCTATTTTATTAGTTTTCATTGTGTCACACGACGTAGTGTTAAAATAACACTGTAGCTAATGCTGTATACCTGTTTTTATTTCACTTCGATAATGTCAACAACTCTAGTATTGGTAATTGGTCTTATCGTTTTTCTCCGCTCTTTATATTCTGGATAATAGGGTTGAGGTATATTGCATAAGTGTACGCTCTGACAATGTTATCTCTCTCACGTTGCAGTTTGCCAATATGACAATATTCTACGTTCCCCCTCCTAACACTCTGCGATTACTCTCATGCATTATCTCGGGAAATAGGGATGGGAAGACCCGGTCATTTTCGTGATTCGGATCATTTGAATCAGTTCACTAAAAAGATTCGGTTAAAAGATTCGTTCGTGTTGATCCGAATCTTGAAAAACCCCACTAGATCATTTACAGACGTGTAGCTCATGAGTTCTTTGAAGTGAATTGAACGAGTCGAATCAGCTATCAGTGTTTGATTCGGTGACTCTTGACTCAGTATAACCAACATTTCAAATTTAATTCACAAACGAAAAAATCACTAATCAGCAGTATACTACACAGTAGACGTGTCCCACTGTCTCGTACATACACAATGGTTATGGTACATAGGCGTGCGCAGAGTGCAGACCTGCATTTCGGGGGGTTCCTACAATATTTTTGGGCCCTTTTCTTAACTTGGGCCCTCTCCTAACAAGACATGTACATAATACATATTTTAGTAAATTATATTGAACAAAATAATATTACTTACTTAGTTACATGTTTTATTTAACATTCTAATACAACAGTTATAGATTTATAATAATATGCGCCTATTACTTAAATTATCAAACTCATTAATAAGTAAAAACTAAAACTACTTCAACATTAGAGGCCATTTCTTGTTCCGTAAAAAGTAAAATTAATGATTCGAAACGGTCTTGGGCCATGATACTTCATTAATTCATTTACTATTCACAATATTTAATTTCAAACAGTGGCGTGGCGAAGTGAAATATTTTATCGGGCAATTCATTTTTTGATTGACCTACCACCCAGTGGCTTATCCAGGGGGGATAATATATCATATTAAAATGTAGTTAGTTTTGTACTACAATATTTCTCACTAAATCCAGAACTCACTCACCCACGACCCACCCACCCATTAAAATTATCGGGCACCTGCCCTTCAAAATCGCGGTCAACACGCCACTGATTTCAAATATACCTGTTCACATGAACAACTTGTATCGGGTACAATGCTAAACATCAAATAAACATTAAATATTTTAGGGCCCCAATTAAATGTCAGGGGATGCCCAGGCACACCCGGAACACCCCGTGCGCACGCCTATGTTATAGTAGTATGGTACAAAGCAAAGTAATAATATAAATATGATATCATTACATAAATATCAGTATCATTACCAAAAATATTTGTTACAGTTATCATCAGAAGTAGGTACCAAAATTATTGAACGACAAACGTTAAAATCAAATCAACACAGTAAAAAATGTTATTACGAAAATACGAAAACGGCAGCTAGGGCTTTATTTCTGTAATACACTTAAATACTAATAGAAAATAGTTGACATAATTACTAAATATATTTGTTGTTTTATTAATTATTAGTTTATAATTTAATTGTAACAAACTTACAACTACTTACAATATTATTGATTTTATCAATTAAAAAATGTTATTATAAAATTACTTTTGTTTATTATTTCTTTAATTATATATTTATATAGTCACCCATCTAACATATGATAATTTTTAATTTTTTTATATCAAGATATAAATAATTATAAGGTTACTATACAATTGGTATAGACTAACTAGATCTGGTTAATCAAAAAAAATGATAAAAATTAAGTCAACACACATTTGTTTGTATACATAATATAATATGATATTATAAATTATAAAAAAATAATCTCTTTATCTAAGAGATTTACATAAAAATGGTATATTAGTACAATTATAGAAAAAATGATAATGGGTAATAATGGAGCATAAATATTTTTAGATAGATACTGTATATTTTGTCTATATTTAAAACATCTACAATCCGTGTTTTTATTTGACAAAATATTCATTAAGCGAATCTTTTGATTTATTTATTCTTGTGACAATTTCATATTTATTCCTGCAAAAGTAAATAAAAAAATTAAAAATGAATCGTAAAAGAAGTAGTGTTTGGAATCATTTTAGTATAAAATCAAATACGATAGCTAAATGCGGTTATTGTCCCCAAGAAGTTAGCTATAGTGGAGGATCTACAGGAAATTTAATAAGGCACCTGAAGACCAAACATATTGGTGTACATTTAAATAGACAGTTGAGGGAGCAAAGAGACAACGTTGTACTAGCTCAAGAAAATGAAGATGATCCTATTGCTGTCACTCCGTCAAATGCCGAGAACGCTAAGAACATTGACGATGTACCTTCTTCGAGTAACGTTCAAAATCAACCAACTCTTTTAAATTATATTTCCTCGGTGGCCACTCAAAGAACAGCTACAGTGAGTTCTGCTTCAAGTATGCCAGTTGTAAGTACAGTCACATCATTATCAAGTCAAACATCTATGTCAAGTTACATAATAGCAAGTAAGCCAATTTCCATTTCTAAATCTAAAGCTATCGACCAACAAATTACTCGTTTCATTGTTAAGCATTTCCATCCTTTTTCTCTTGTTGAACAAGTCGAGTTTCGAAAGTTGATAAAAATGCTTGTGCCAAATTATACAGTTCCAACAAGAAAAACTGTTGCAAATAGCTTGTTGATGCAGTTGTATGAAAGTGTGTATCAAAAAGTGAAATTAGATGTACAAAATGTTTCAGCTGTGAGTATCACAACAGACGCCTGGACATCTACTAACAATCAAAGTTTCATGTCAGTTACAGTACACTTTATAAATTCAGATACACAATTATGTTCTCGTTTATTAGGTTGTTTTTCTTTTACCGAGAGACATACTTCTGACGAGTTGAGTAAATTTCTCTTGAGCGTGGTGAATGATTGGGGGTTGGAAAATATGGTAGCTGCTGCTGTTACAGATAATGCAGCAAATATCAAGTCAGCAATTAAAAATAATGGTTGGAGACATATCTCTTGTTTTGCCCATGTCTTGAATATTGCTGTACAAAAAGGTTTAGAATCAGTTCATCCTATAATAGCAAAGGTCAAAAGTATTGTTGAATATTTTAAACGAAGTACTTTAGCTCTTAATAAGCTCAAAAATCTTCAACAACAAATGGGATGCGAACAACTTAAATTAATTCAGGATTGTAAGACCAGGTGGAATTCCACGTTTCACATGATCCAAAGGATTCTCAAGGTGAAAGATTCTGTACTTGCAACTTTGGCTGTAACAAATAATGAACTGAACAACATTACCAGCCAAGAATGGGAATTGCTATCTCAGTGCTGCAACGTTCTATCCATTTTCAATGATGTCACCGAAGAAGTGAGTGCTGAAAAAATAGTAACCATTTCAAAGGTAGTTTTATATTATGGATTTTTGGATGAACATTTAACATCAAACATTTATAAAAACGATACATTGCACGAAGTTGAAAAAATGGCAACCGATATACAAAATGTTCTACGTGCTTACTTTGGAAATCTTGAAGATAAAGATGTTGTAGCCCAATCTATTATTCTTGATCCTCGCTTCAAAAAACAAGGGTTTTCTTCGGACAGCAAATTTTTAGTGGCCAAAACTGTGCTTAGTAGGAAACTTCAAAGCATTCGAATTGGAACTGAAAACACTGCAGCTGGCCCAAGTACTGAAAATCCACAAACGGCACAAACAGCAACAACTTCATTATTATGGAAAACATTTGATAATAAAGTAAATTCATTGATTGGTCAAAATAATCCAACTGTTGCAGGAATAGTAGAATTGGATAAATATTTAGCTGAGACGCTAATACCACGCAGCATGGACCCATTGCAGTGGTGGTCAGAGCGTAAACACATTTATCCACGATTATTTGAAGTTGTAAAGAGAAGATTATGTATACCAGGAACATCTGTACCGAGTGAGAGAGTCTTTTCTAAAGCAGGTCAGGTGTTAACTGACTTTAGAAGTCGTTTGACAACTGACAAGGTTGAAAAAATTGTATTTGTTCAATGTAATCTAAAGTAAAGTAAACAAGTTGTTATTTGTATTTAAGATTTATAATATTATATTATAGGTACCTACTATTATACATTTATTATTATCATACTCATTATTATTAGGTATTATTATTATCCTATTATACAATAGTTGTTTATATTAATTAATATTTTATTAATTATGTTCAGTTTTCAGTAGGTAATAAGTATTTATACTACACTACTAATGCTATTTTTTTTCTTATTAATATTATGACTTGTTTAAATAATTAAATATGATATGATGTATCATGTTTAAATATACCTATACAAAATACATACCAATGTGTCAATTTTTAATTTCCTTTTATTGAGATTCGGATCTTGAGAGACCATAAAAAATAATGTAAATAATGTAAATTTTTAAAAGGTACTGTTACTGTATTAATGTAATAATAAGTAAAAACTATAAACTATTTTACAAAATTATTTTGTAAAAATGCAAATTAAATTAAATAGTGGATTCTAAAATTCTAAATAATAATAAATAATAAATACTGATTAAGTGATAAACTGTGATTACTGATTACTGAATACCTACTAATGTCTGATATCGTCGTACGACCATAGAAGATAGAACACTGAACAAATAACAATACGAGTATACGACGTACGTCTATCGCAATTGGTGTATAATATTATTGTCAATTGTGTTCACTGATCAGTGCTCGCCTGGTTGATGGT